TTCCAGATTCTGGCAAACAGAGGTTCTCAGCCAATTGCAGCTATTTTGGTAATACTTGGACACAGAAGTGATTTCTCAGTTGCAGTAGCTACAATCCAAAGTATACACTGAATCAGTGATCATGCAGAACACTTTCCTGCTACAGACTTATTTGCTCATTGACTGGTGTATATGACTACTGCTTTGGGTAGCAGGTGTGTAGATAAAGTTCAGTTAGTCAGCTGGAGAAATGTTCTGGGCTTAGTTGTCTTACCTTTATTTATGCTAAGAATCAGAGAAAGATACTCTCAATTGCAGTAAGAGTGGCATTATCAGACCCACACCTTTGGAGAGTCAAAAATGGGCAACTAAGTAACAAATTTATGTTTTAATACTGCGCTTTGAGGCTCAAACTGATGCTTCAACAGAAAACATATTGTAGTGCAGTTGATAAAATGATGGCTGTGTATAGCTGGATAGAAAGTACTGTACAGTTTGCCAAACTGTTCTCTTTTCCTACTATCTAGACACACAGCTAACATAAAATCCTAATCCTTAAACAACACCTATAGGGACATGCTACAAATGAGTTTCACCAAAAACAGGTGCATATTCCCATCAATATTTTCAATATATTCCCTGCGTAAATGTTTCTAAAAGATCTCCGGAAATAGCATAGGCATCTATTAATTCTATTCCATTCATAAAAGCCCTTCCTGGTTCACTAAGTATTTGTGGGATACAAAGTAAGAGTAGATGAATCTGATCTGAAAATTCTACCAGTCACAATAATTTTAAATGCTTTGCGAAACCAAGAATAAAATAAGCCATAAATGATTGGATTACATGTAGAATTGAAGTATCCCAGCCAGAGGAAGGCATTGTACATGTCTTCGGGTGCTGAGAAATTAATAAAAGGATCAGCTATTGTAAGGCTAAAGAAAGGCATCCAACACAACACAAACACCCCCATGACAATACTTAAAGTTTTAGTCGCTTTGCTCTCTTTTTTTGTAGACAGTTTGTTTTTCATTGCAGAGGCACATATTATTGCACTGGGAATTTTAGCAATTTGTCTTGCATGTTTTCTTGCCACTGTAAATATATGGACATAAATACCAACCATCACTGTTCCTGGGAAAAAGAAGGCTATAAGAGAAGCCATCACTCCCCACAGCTTGTTAAATATCAATGCACAGAAACCATTGCAGTCAATAGAAGTCACATATTCTTCAATGCCATCAATATTCAACTCTGAGAAAACTAGGCCAAATGCAAATAAGAAAGGGACAGCCCAGCTAATAAATAAAAAGAGGACTATCACCGGGACAGTTATTTTGGTGACATAATTCAGTGGGTCACAAACCGCGTAGTAACGGTCAATGGAGATAAAACACAGGTGGAAAATCGAGGTGGTACAGAGCATTATATCAAAAGAAGTATGGAGTTTGCAGAAGAGGTCTCCAAAATACCAACAGGACTCAACAGACCTGACCATGCTGTAGGGCATCACCGTGAAGCTAAGCAAAAAGTCAGTAGTTGCCAAGGAGCAGATCAGGAAGTTGGTTGGAGAATGAAGCTGTTTGAAATGAGCGATGGAAATGATCACAAGCATGTTACCACCCATTGTGAGCACTGTTGCTCCCACCATGAAGATGTACATAGCCCAAAGACTGATTGTAGACCTTACATTCCTAGCACATGAATTGTTAACAAAGTCAAAGCAGTACTGCACGTTCTGTGGACTCCAGAGGGTGGATGAATTCATGATTTGAGACCATTGATAGGAATGATTCAGAAGCACAGCCAGTTCTGGAGAAAAGGGAAAAAAATAAGGTTACATGCAGATTAGCAACATCTCCAGACCTGTTTCAGATTAGTCAATTAGCATTTATAATTACAAATAATGGCCCTGGTTCTGCTCTCAGTGGTACTAATATCCATTCAGAATATTTGCCATTTACTTCTTAGGAGTTACTTTAGACTTACATCAGTTTGAGAGATAGCAGAATGTGGCCCAGTCCTAACAAAATGATGGGCTGAGTTATTTTCTAAATACATTTGACTCTTAAGGTACGTCTACACCGCAGTGTTATTTTGGAATAACTGACATAACTGCAAAATAACATAGACCATGTCTATACCTACAAACAGTTATTTCAACATAATGTCAAAATAATGTTGAGCTGGAGGAATTCTTACTCTGACTCCTGTAACCCTCATTTTACAAGGAGTAATGGAAGTCGGAGGAAAAATGTTCTTTCTTTGACTGCAAGCTGTTTAGACATCACCAAAAGCTGAAATAAGCTATTTCGATTTAAGCTATGAAATTATTGTAGCTCAAGTTGCATAGTTCATTTTGACTTCTGCCCTGATGTGTACAGGTGCCCTTAAGGTACTCAAAAATTTGCTCTGGAGTTTACATTCAACACTGTAAGCACTATGAGATGAAGTTTGCAGAATTAAAGCATTAAACAAGTGACACTCTCTTGTCTGGCAATCAGAGGAAGATTAGCTTTTTTGGGCCTTGGGACAGAGTCTATGGGTACCCTGCTGCACCCTTCCATTTCTAGTACCCGCAACCCGCCCTATGCTCCTGTTGGGAAAATGGGGTTTGGGTATAGAGGCTTTCCCCACTCCCTGACAGGAGCACAGAGCAGGTAGAGTGACCCACACCTCCAAGTCCTGAACAAGATCCCTGGCAGAAGCAGTGGGCAGGTGCAGTGGATTCAGGCATAGGGGTGCCTATTTTTCCTGGTCCCCTAATTGGCTGGAACGCTAGGATCTAGGCCTCATTGGCCCAGTGGCTAGTCCAATTGAGTGCACAGCTCCGTGCATCATTTGAGACATAGTTGTTCTGAAGCTACTGCCTGTACTTTCAGGAGAAACATTACACTCAGCATCAGAAACCCCAGACTGACTTATGCTATACAGATTTTAACATGCAGCTCCCTGTGAAGCTGGACAGACCTTCACGTAAAAGAGTAAGAAAAACTCACTGACTCCCTTCTCATTTTAGCATGCATGTAAATAGGTCACTAAGTATATACCTGCAAACAAGTTTCTGTTAAGTTTATATATTAATATTAACCCACTTTGCTGTATACATTCAACACATACTTGGCTAGCATTATGAGAAATATAATAGCACAGTGCTGAGTAGTCATTTGAGTGTGCTGAACAATCTGTGCTTTGAAGCATTGAAATATTTGAAAAACGGGTAAAACCACAACTTCAGTGAACTGTATTAATTCTGTAATATGGATAGTTGATATTTAATCAAACTGCTCCATCTATAAATCCCATTTTTTCATCCTTTCCAATTCTATAGCTCCATATCCCTTCTCCTCTATTATCCATTCTCTTTATTTGTCCTGCATCTATTCCTGCTTTTCTTTTATTTCTCCCAGCTTCTCAGGTCCATTAAGCTGTTTCTGTACCAGAGTACACGATTGCTTTCTGGCATACTTTTCTAAAATCCATTTGAAACTCTGCTGCATGATAAGAATGAACTTGTAGTTATACAGTAGATATACCAAGCTGATACCAAAATGCAGAGTCATTATATTAGGGTTCTTTATCTTATAAAAGTTTCCCTCTGATATGAATGCCTCCAAAAGACAATTATACTGTGTATATGCTTAATGTCTTGTATTAAGCATACATAATGCTTGAGAAGGTAAATCCAATATATAAGTGGTGCATGCATATGCACATATACATAAATGCACACACAAGGTATGCATATGTAATTAGAGCTTGGGAGTTTAATTTAAATTAGTTCACAGTACCAACATAAGGAATTGCATTCTCCCAATAATGCCAACAAGAGTTTCTAGCAAAAGCATAAACTGCAAGCCTCATGTTGCTAGGGTTTCTCATGCTACAAGGTCCCCACATTTAGTTAGATACTTAGTCAAAAGACAAATACTCTATTCATATGCTTACTATCTTGTGATCTTTATCTTCTCTACTTTTTACATGAAATTAAAAAAAAAAGTATTGGATCTATTGTAGGCCAAATCCTTACCCATTAAAGTCATTGAGAATTTTAAAACTATGAGGGAAGCAATATTAAACATTACATCTATAAAGTTTATTCCTACAAGCATTTAGCATAGTATAACTTTACTCCAATGAGCAGTACTATTAAAATTAATAGGTCTAGCCACATATGAAAATAAGTATTTGAAGGAAATCATTTTATTACATTAACTTGCTTTAGAACTTTGAATGGATATATGACATTAACATGCTTAAGAAAGAGCAGTGTGTGCTAAGTAATAGATTTTGTAAAAGTAAACTCTTCAAGACTTCAATTTCATGCAAAACAAAATTCCTAGTCCAGCTTTACTGTCTGCACATTGGCAATTATGAGCTCATTAATACAATTTACAGATGTTCTGTAGCCGAAATAGCATAAATGATTGAAGATCAGATGTCCTTCACAAATCAGTTTCTTGATGATCTTGCTGCACATTTGAAAATTCAATTTTTTTTTCTACAGAGTAGCACAAGTTATTCTTCTGGTACAAACAGTGCCTCTGAATGAAATCACTAGAAAACTTTTTGACAGAGGGTCATTCTACTATGGAGACTTGAAAATCAAATATTAGCACTTCTTCTAGTACTTTGCAAAATGCAGTTTGTAACATCATTACATGGTAGTAAAAGACATTTTACCTGATACCTCTCTATAATTCATCTCTTCATAGAAAACATTTTTAGATGGGATTTTTGCTTTTGTTTCTGGTCTTCGGTATCAGTTAGAAAATCTTTTGATCCAAATCAATGTACAGTTGTAGAGCTTATATGTAAAATGTGCATAAATCTTTTTCTTATTTACTCACAAAACTTGTTTGATTGCTTTTTTCCTCCATATGATTCCTTTGTGACAATGCTCAATGAAAACGTGCTTGAAAGTTTTCCTCTTTTGTTATCAGATCAACTGGGTTGCTGCTAGTGTGTATATATAGCACAGAAGACCTGTAGCTGTCTCTGGGGAATTTACAGGTCTCCTGTCATATCTTTCCTTTGGCAGTTTTCCTCTGTAACTCTTCATTCTGTTTCTTAAACTGAACACAATTATGCATAAAAACCATAGTGAGATTATTTCATTTGCTTCACAGCCACACTGGAAATGCGTGGAAAAACTTTGCCTGCATTTAAATATGTTAAATAGAAAATCATGGAAGGTCTTTAAGCTTTATGGGACAGAGACTGTCATTTACTCTGCCCCGTAGGGTTGATTCAAAACTGGTTCTCACTGAAAAATCAAGGTTTTGGCTCAAAACGTATTATTTGCAATAAGTGCCTGCTTTCAGTGGAAATTTCCAATTTTTCATCAAAAAACTAAGCAGCAGTTCTGTAATGCTTCCACAGTGGCACAGAGGAGTTGGAAGGAAGAGCAAACAGTGGCTTCTAGTTATAGGTTCCCTGGGTGGGGACCAAGTGTAGTGGGTGGGCCTGGTTCTCCCCTCTTTACCCCCTCTTCCCTGAAGGAATTTGCCTACACAGACTGCAGTTTGCCCCGGAAGCAAGGGACTATATTGGTGACTGCAACAGGCCACTGACAGGAGTGGCTGGACTATAGATTGCAGGTTCCCCCTAAAAGGGAGAAAAATCAGAGTGGGACACAGATGAAGGGCTGTGCACAGAAGAGAATGCTGCAGCCCATCCCAGAGTGGTGCAGTCAGCAAAGAGAGAGTAACAGCAAGCAAGACATGATGAGAAGAGGACACCCTGTGGGACAACTTGAGCTAATTCCCAGAACAACCAGCAAGAGGTGCCATGTTGGTGTATTTACAATATTAGAAAGCAGTTATTCTAATGGGTGTCAACTGGACAGTTTGGGGAAATTAAATCCATTTCCTTCATGTGCTTTGTGTAATTACACCTTACTATGCTGAGGACTGGTAAAAAAAAATGGGGTAAAATTCTGTACTGCTGTTAATAACGTGTCAATTTTCTTTCTCTCTTCTGTTGACGTTACCCAGTTCTAGGGTTCTTAGTGTTTTTAGGGGTCTTAGCTTTCTTCCTGTAATTCTAGTAAGTTGTTCTAATGCTACAGCAGTTTTCAGCATAGAACTGAGGGACTAACAGATGGTGAATGAATGAAATGAGGTTGCATGTCACTCTCCATAGAAGTAGTGAGTAGTGTAAATGCAGTGATTCTCACACTGCAGTCCGTGGACCTCCAATGATCCACGGCCACCTTGCAAATGGGCCGCAGCTCAAGGCTCAGTCCCCCACCCCTGCAATAGGGTGTCTGCTCTGGTGCTCCAGCTCTCTGCCCTCCACCAAGTTTGGAGCACCAGGATCAGCTGCCCTCTGTGGGGGAGTAAAGCCCAGAGCCTCACTGCCAGACCCAGCTCACAGGGGGAGCAAGCGGCTCTGTGCACTGCTGCTCCCCCTCTCCCCAGTTGGGGGAATGGCAACATATAGACACTCTGCCTGGAGGCTTTCCCTGATGCTCCCATTGACTGGAATCATGGCTAATGGGAGCAGCCAGAAGCGGTGCCTGGGACCCAGTGCCTGGGAGCAGTGGCTGGGAGTGGCAGGGGGAGGAGGGAGACAAAGCCTGGTAAGCACTCCTTCCCCCGCTGAGACCCTGCACCCTCATCCCACCCCTTCACTTTCCTTTGCTCCTGCACCCTTCCTTCTAACCAAACACCCTACCCCTAGCCTGCTCCTGCACCCTCCCTCCCATCCAGACCTCGCACCCTCATCCCCTACTGCACTCCCATCCCTATTGCATTCCCTGGCAGCCCCCTCTCCCACACTGAACTTCTCATTATTGCCCCAACCCCAGAACCTAAAGGGGCTCACAAAATCAACAGGTTGGACCTCTCTGGTCCGGCACCCTCGGGACCTGACCTGTTCTGAAAGAGGAAATTTGATGGATCAGGGGAGGTCCCCTGCCACCATCCTCCCAGTACACTCCCACTACCTGTGGCTAGCTCCGCTCTGGACCCACCGCCACTAAGCTCCTCCCTGCTGCCGTAGGACTTGGGCTTGAGCTCCAGCTCACTGCATGTGGATGGCTGAGGCTCACTGGGGATAGAGCTCCCCAATTTCCATGGCCCCACTTCTCCCCTGCCTGGCAGGGATTCCCTGGGAACTGGACTTGCTGGCTGCCCTGCTTCCACTGTGCCCCACCCGGGATCCCAGGAACAGAGCATGCCCACTGCCCTGCTTTTGTCATGAGCCTGAGACGGGACTCACTGGCTTCCCTGCTGCTTCCCCACCTGGCCAAGGATCCCCAGTGATGGGGCTCCCAGCCAGTTCACACTCCCAGACTCCAGGGCTCTCTGGTCCAGCAACATCCATGGTCCTACCAGACCACGGATGTTGTCAGAGGAGAAAGTCCCGGGTTTAGGAGGTTCAACCTGTACTAACCTCCTTGTGAGAAGCCCTGAACCGTGGTCCTCCCTGCCTTCCTACCCTTCCTCCATGGGGCTGGAGAGCCAGAGGAGTGAGGTGCCTCAGTTGAGGGCCGTATCTGTGAGGGTTGGGGCTTGGGCTTTTTTTGGGGGGAGAGGGAGTTGCCGCTCATTTTTGTGTGGTCCCCAACAGATTTTTTCTGTGAATCAATGGCCCCCAACTCAAAAGAGGTTCCCTACCACTGCATAAAGAAAACATTGAAACCTTTCGTTTTGTACATAAATTAATATTTTACTTCATTTAAAATCAAGTTAAGTAAACTATCAGAAAGCTAAAGTGCTTAATCTGTTTAATTATTTCGATTTTAATTAATAATATTTATTTCCTTACCTGTTATATGCATCTTCTTATGTTATAGCTTCAGTAGTAATTTAGTATTTAAAGTATTTAGAGATCAGCGAAGGAATTTTGTCATCATGGGTGGTTGGCTGGTGATTCACAATAGGAATTGTCAACATGTAGTTGATTACACAATTAACCAATGCATTTGGGTTTATCAGTTAATCCTATCAAATACATGCACTCTTCCCCTGGCTGTCCCATGAGCACCGAATCCCATGGAGCCCCTCTCCCCATGCTGCTGCCTCTGATAGAGCAGCAGCAGAGAGGCAGCAGTGTGGAGGGTGAAGTGGGCAGGTAGGAGCCAGTACTCACAGGAAGCCAGATTTCAAGCTGGCTCCCCTTGTGTATCAGCTCCCACAAGAGCCACCTCCCCTGCTGCCTCTCTGTCAGGGGCACTGACGCAATGGGGGAAGCAGGCAGGAGACGATACATCTGAGGAACCAGCTGAAAAGCCAGCTTCCTAAATGTACCAGCTCCCATCTGCCCAACTCACTCTCCATGCTCTCACAGAGGTGGGGGGAGGGTGAACAGGTGGAAGCCAGTGCTTCGGGGAACTGGCTTAAAAACAAAAAAAAAGTCTTAAACAAAAAAAAACCTTCAAAAACAGACTACAATGTGAAACTGCTGAGCTGGAATTCATATATAAATTTGACACCATCAAAATGGGTCGGAATAGAGAGTGGGAGTAGTTCTCTTATTTCAATAAGTAATTTTCCCCTTCAAGTATTTCCACCTCCCTATCACTGTTAGAAGTGGGTCACATCCATCATGATTGAATTAGCACTGGTGTAACACTCCCATCTCTGCATCCCTGCCATCTGTTTCTTTCACTTCATGCATCTGAAGAAGTGAGTTGCAACTCATGAAAACTTACGCAATAACATTTAGTCTTTGAAGTGCCACTGGACTCCTTGTTACTTTTAACATTTAGTCTTTGCAGTGCCACTGGACTCCTTGTTACTTTTGCGGAAACAGACTAACATGACTACTTCTCTGAAACCTGTCATTAATAAAAGAGGCATTCAGTGTGAAATATTCAGATAGTGGGAACATACTTACTGCTACAGCCCAATGACATACCTCATTTGTACCTTGATTGGAAAACTCACTAGACAATATATATTTTTGTCATGGAAAAAAATCCTAATGTGAAACTCTGTTGCAGGCAAAACATTACATTTATTCATTGGATTTGTTTTGTTAAATGTGCTGATTACAGAATGCAAAGAACTAAGTCATTGAGTTCATGCATTGTATTATACTAATTTAATTTGTAACACTTGCTAGTGTGAACCCTCTTTGTTGTGTTTTTACATATAAGCCCTCATTCAAAGCCTAAGTGAAGTGAATGAAAAGCCCCTATTGACTTCAGTGGATTTTGTATCAGGCTCACACTGATAATATTACTGTTCGCTATGTGCAATCTGTTCTTTAATTCTAACTACATTAGCATACACCACACTTTGTTCTTTATCTTGTTTGTGACGCAAAAACATATGTACAATCTGACTATGACGTGCAGTCATTTAAAAATACCCACAGATTTAAAAATCTTACAAGTTTTCATCTCAACAGTGTATTTATGTACAACTAAATAAAGAATAGAAAACAAGTAGTAAAAATCCTTACCATTAATTAGTTGCTTATTTATTTTTGTAATGAGCAACTAAAGAGATTTCACTATATTTGAAGGATTTTTAGAAATATTTCAGGTAGTGTATTCAAAACAGTCTAGTGATAATCACCAGACGTGGGTGTTCTGGATGCTAAATGAGAAGTATGTGTTGTCAATTTAGGGGACTGTCTGATTGTAGCTGATTTGAGAAAGATGGAAATTGAGTTTAATAATGCCAGCTCATTGAATGTCACATAAACCATTATTAGAACTCGTTTAATCATTTATAGTTCAATATTTTTCTGTTGTCTTTCAGGTTTTGGTTCAAATCTTCAAAACTACCTAAATAAAATTGACAGGAATTGGGCATCTAAACTCTGTAGCTTGCTTTGAAAACCTCCCCTTTCCATGGGACAGAAATAATCTGTGTCAGTCTCGTTTAATACAGTTTTTATTTCTTCACATATTTTTAGTATATTTTCTCATTTTCTTACCACTTTAATACATAGCTAAAATGAGAGGGTGTCCTCTCTAGGTCCATATTTAAGGTGGTGAGCTATGTTCATAGTGATATCTAAATGCTCTGGTCATTCTTATTACATCTATACAATAGACATACTGGAACCAAAGGTCTTGTGAGTTAAACCAATAGTCACTGCCTCCTTGAACCAGTGGTAGAAAAATACATAAATCAAGGGATTGCAGAATGAAGTAGAGTAAACAAAACAAGTTAGGACATCAAAGAGAATTGGTGAACTAAGGAAATCCAAAAGACAGCTCACCGTTGTCAGTTTAATAAAAGACAGCTAACACAGGGGGTAGATTTGCACAACTGTACCCAGTGTTTTAGTTGCCCATCTTTCCCAGATCCAGTACTCATATTCATGCTGCTTAGCTGCCTAGCTTGTTCTCTTTGGCACAATATTTTATATACAAAGTTATCATTATAAGGCAGAGGAAGAACAGAGGGAATTTCAACCAGCCCCAGAGTTTGCCAAACAGCAGCTGACATTCACCAACACAGAGAATATCTTGTAAGAAATGGCTCAAACCTTCTTCAGCTTCATTGGTTCACAGTCTGACTTTTCTGCATTCCCACAATAATTGCAAGCATGGTGATCATATTTCACAATTCCTGCATTTAGTAATAACAAGGTTTGTGACCCTATAACAGCCAAACTGGTTACAATTGGCAAAACATCATTGCAACAGTTGAAATATCTAACAGATGTAAGCAAACAGAAGCAAACTGTTTTTACATGCACACAACCGGAATCTCATTCTTTAAGCTAAGAGTGTTTCCCTTCTTTGTGCCAGGTTAAGCACAGCACAGACTTTCTTCTTTTGTATTCCCACAATAATTACAGACACTGCAACTAGTATTAACGCAGTTTGTGACCCAACACCAGCCAAGTTGATTGCAATGACCAGAACAACACTCCATTAACTGAATATCTAATATATTTAAGCAAAGCAGGGACAAACTGTATTTACAAAGGCTATTTACTTAGCGTTTCTTTCCCATTCTAGCTGGCTGTAATGGAAGCATTTATTCAGACCCAGCTTACAAAATATCAATGGTTTTTATGGGCATTAGTAATATAATATCTGCCTTTCTTTGATGTTGTATCATCTTTACCATATTGTATTCTCTAGATTATATAACAAATGAATTCAAGGCCTCTTTTCAATTCCAAGTGTGAATGTAATAAACCTTGGTCTATCCATCCATCTGTAGCAACTAATGCATCAACAGTTAGTTCTAATGTTTAGAGTCAGGAGCCTGGATGCTTGATCAGTCATATGCTGAGTCAAAGGTCAGATCCAGAGATGGAGTCAGGAACCAAACCAAAGTTCAGAGCTGAAGTCAGAGTGAAGTCAGAGAAACCAGGGGGCAAAGCGAGAGCCCGTATCAGAGTAAAATGTAGAAATAGGGATGTGGATCAAGGCAGGAAAGTAAGAACCAGGAACAGACAGGGAAACAAATAAGAGAGCAAGAACCAGGAACAGACTGATCAGTGAGGCTTAGGGATCAGACCAGTAGTCCTTGAATCCATACTAACAGCCACTTAGATGACTTCCTGGGCCTATTTATGGTTTAACTGGTATGTGCCAGCCAATCAGTGGAGCTGGATGACTCCGCCAATCATGAGCTTTGTGGACAAGGCCTTTGTGAGCTAGACCTTAGCAAGAATTCTTTTCCACTGGGTCAAGTGAGCTGCTGGTTGGCAGTGGGGTTTAAGGCTTGCAATCTCTTACTTTACCCCCTGCTTCTTCAAATATACGGGTGGTGTTCTTGGTTTTCCATAGTGTTTTTTGAGGAAAGTATTTTTTCAGGCCAAGAGCCTAGTCTTAATAGAGACTACAAGGCCAAAGCTTTGGATAATTTGGATAATTTTTTCCAATGGGTTTTGATGTTTTTCACTTGTCTTTCAGCAACATGATGAAAATGTTTGTCTTGTAAAATATGTATAGTAAAAAATGGTGAATTTTCTATAGCTTTTCAAAGTTGTCTATCTATGATGAGAGAAAGAGGGACCAAATGAGAGAGAGAGGGTATGTCCCCACTACAAAACTAACAGACGTTAGTTCGAATTAACTTTAATAGGTGCTACACATTCAAACCACTAGTTCGAACTTAATTCAAACTAGCGGAGCGCTTATGATGAGAGAAAGAGGGAGCAAATGAGAGAGAGAGGGTATGTCCCCACTACAAAACTAACAGACGTTAGTTCGAATTAACTTTAATAGGTGCTACACATTCAAACCACTAGTTCGAACTTAATTCAAACTAGCGGAGCGCTTAATTCAAACTAGGTAAACCTCATTCCACGAGGACTAACGCCTAGTTCGAATTAAGTAGCTCGAATTAAGGGCTGTGTAGCCACTTAATTCGAACTAGTGGGAGGCTAGCCCTCCCCAGCTTGCCTGGTGGCCACTCTGGGCCAAACCAGGGAAACTCTTCTGCCCCCCTCCCAGCCCCGGAGCCCTTAAAGGGCCACGGTCTGGCTATACTGCTTGTGCCAGTTGCAAGCCTGCAAGCACCCAACCAGCAGACCCTACACCTGGCATGGGATGAGCCAGCCACCTGCTGCCACCCAGCCCTCCGCCTCTTCCCAGGACCAGGCTGGCAGCTCTCAGGAGCCTGCCCGGGGCCGTAAAAGATGGGCGCCCACCTGGTCTAGTGCGGAGATTGTGGACCTCATGAAGGTTTGGGGGAAGGCCTCCAACGTTCACGATCTCCGCACTAGGCACAGGAATGCGGCCATCTGGGGCAGGATAGCTGCCAACCTGGCCACCAAAACCACTCCTACCCTCTGGCTAATAGGACTCCATGGACCCAACCTCCATCACTTTATCTCACTTCCCTTTAAACTCTGTTCTAGTTGTAGCCTTCACAGCCTCCTGCAGCAAGGAGTTCCACAGGTTAACTATTTGCTTTGTCAAGAAGAACAACTTTCTCTTACTAGTTTCAAGCCTGCTACCCATTCCTTTCCTTTGGTGTCCTCTAGTCCTTCTTTATGGGAACTCAGGAAGAACTTTTCTGAATGCACCCTCTCCACCCAACCCCTGCTTTTAGAGACCTCTATCCTGTCCCCCCTCCGTCTCCTCTTTTCTAAGCTGAACAGTCCCAGTCTCTGTAGCCTTTCTTCATCTGGGACCTGTTCCCAACCCCTGATCATGTTAGTTGCCCTCCCCTCTCCCATCCGCTCTCTTCCCCTCTCCCACCTCCTTTTCCCAGTCTCCCCGAGTTTTGTTCAATAAAGAGAGTTTCTATTTTTGAACACACGTGTCCTTTATTTTGCTCTCCCCAGATGGCAGCCTGCGGCAAGTGCAGCTGGGCTGATGGCCGAGTGGTGTGATGTGCCCAGTGTGGGCACTCAGGGCACTCCAAGCCAGAACTTCTTTGCAAGCGGGGCACCCCTTAGAACTGTGTGTCCGGGGTGGGGGTCGGGACCCTTTAAGCGCAGCCCTCGGCTAGCCTGAGACAGCATCTCCATGCTCTAAGTCCTCCTTTTATGCCCTGCCGGCACTGCTTCCGGCCATCCTTAAGCCCTGTTCAGAGTCCACTCAATGTGGACTTGCTAGTTCGAACTAGCAAAACGCTAGTTCGAACTAGTTTTTAGTTCTAGATGCGTTAGTTCGAACTAGCTTAGTTCGAATTAACTAATTCGAACTAAGTTAGTTCGAACTAACTTTGTAGTGTAGACGTACCCTAAGTAAGTTCGAATTAGTGCTGTAGTGTAGACCTACCCAGAGAGATTATATGTAGAAAAGTAATGGTTTTCATGGGCACTGGATAACTTATCACATTAGTAATATAATATCTATCTTTCTTTGTAGTTTTGTCATGCTTCCCAACCAATCAGAAGGGTTAGAAAACATTTTTCACTGCCCTTCTCCCCCTCTCCCCCTGCTTCCTCATGACCTACTGCCCATGTGCCAAGAAACCATCTAATCAGTGAGAGGAGGTTTTCACAAAAGAGGTGTGCATTATGTTCTGGAAATCTTTCTAAAGTGTCCATCACCATTGTTTTCTGGTAGCAAATATCAAAACTATAGATAGATCTTAAATGTCCAAGGCTACTTCAGTTCTCCACTGCAATGTTGTATATATATATTTTTCACTGCCCTTCTCCCTCTCTCCCCCTGCTTCCTCATGACCTACTGCCCATGTGCCAAGAAACCATCTAATCAGTGAGAGGAGGTTTTCACAAAAGAGGTGTGCATTATGTTCTGGAAAAGGTAAGACTTGGAGTACACATTGCTCATGTATATCTTTCACTAGCTTGGGCAAACAGAAGCGTCTGAGTTTGAATGCAATCCATATGGCACATTATGTGTCAGTTTTTCAATGGCTAACTGAGCTGCTACACTCAAAGAAACGTGCGCACATTTGCAAAATACCTACCAGAACATTACACAGTTTGTATAGCACCATGCCCATGGATATGCCCTCACTGATCTACGACTGCAAAACATCCACTTAATTGAGAAAATGGGGGTGGGTGGAGGGGTTGTGAGTTCATTGCATCCATGGGCCTTTTCAATATCCAGCCTTTGCTGATATTAGTATTGTATGTTTAAAAAACATTATTAAAAAAACAACAACAATCTCCTTGCAGTGAGTAGAGGAGCTTGTGGTCCACTCCTAAGTGCTGATGGCCTTGGGGTGGGGTTTAGGAGAGGGTGCAGGGTTTGGGAGGGAGATGGGGTGCAGAGTGTTTGGGTGATGACCAGGGGCAGCAGGGAGTGGTGACCTGAGGCGTGGAGTTTGGGGGAGAAAAGGCTTGAGTGCCAGAGGCAGGCTATAGCCAGGAGGCCTTACCTAGGTGACTCCCGGACAACAACCTGGCAGACCTTGAGGCCATCTGACCAATGGGAGCTGAGAGATTTTGCTGGAGGGTGGGGGCAGTGTGTGAGCAGCCAATCACTTAAAGTGGCGTGGAGCTGCTCTGAAGCAACTGGCTACCCCGAACCTCAGGATCCTGGTGGGGCAGATTGTGGGCCGGATTTGGAGGCTATCAGGTCAGCTCAGGCAGCCCGTGAGTCAGATCCAGTGGCTTGGTAGGCCGGATCCGGCCCACAGGCCCTATCTTGCCTGCCCCTGAACTAACTAAATGAAAACTACAGAAATATCACCAGCAGAGGAAGTACAAAATATATGGGGGTACATCTACACTAGCTCCTTAGTTTGAGCTAAGTAGGTAATGAGGGCAAGTGGAATTGCAAATGAAGCCCGGGATTTAAATATCCCGGGCTTCCTTTGCTTGTTCCCGGGCGCTGCCATTTTTAAACCCCCCTTAGTCCAAACTCCGTGCCTGCGGCTACACGCGGCATGGAGTAAGTAGTTTGAATTAAAGATCCTAATTCGAACTACCGTTACTCCAAGGGCACGGCGTACCCTAGGAGAGACATTGTCATGCAGAGCTTTAGTTCTTTTCTAGGCAATTCTTGCGACTTATTATATAATTCAATAAGTTATACGGTTATACCTTATTGTTATTATACAATAAGGTATAACCTTATTGTATAATAACAAAGTACACATTCTGCCAATTATTTGGGAGCTAGAATTTAACAAGTTCTATCTGAAACAACTTTAGTCAAGAAGTTCTTAAGAAGGGTCACATTAATTAGGGCTGTTTAAGTTCATGAAAACTTTGCAACAAGACTCTTTGTTAATGAGACACCTGTTATAGCCTCTCCCCAGAGCTCACACATTCCCTTTGCTGTTTTGCTGCTGAGACACCATGAATCTCACACAGGAACCCACAAGGAAAAGCAACTTCTATGGGTCTATTCTCTGAGCGTTGGCTGGCGTCCTGCTCAGTGTTCAGCATTGGTAAGACATTGATTCAACACCTGTGAAATCATACACCTTAGCTAAACTAGACACTGAAAATCTTTTTAAAAATCACTTTTAATGTGGGAGGAAAGAAGCCACTCCCATACCACAAAGGCAAAGTGGTAGAGATCCTGGATACCAAGAACTAAAAGACCAGCTTGTCCCATCTGCTTTGGCCTCCACAAGAGTGAGCAGCACAAAGCACCTTAAAGTCTCTGGAAATGACCAACTCAGAGTTCCCTTTTGAGAAAGACATTCTGAGTTGTCACAAAGCTGCCACTTGCATCTACTGCTCCCACCCCACAGTGCCCAGCCGGCATAAGGAGAGGGAGAGTGCAGTAGGAGTGGACAGTCAGAACTCCATTATGTCCAGTCCTTCACTGGCTAAATATCTGTGCAGAAATAACTTGATCTGGAGATGGATAAATCCAGATTGGGAGCTACTACCAGCTCTTGGTGTCACCCATCTCTGATCAAGCTCTATAAGTCTAAGTGCACAGACGTTCAATATAACCAGTCTGATTTCATTTCTACCTGGCTCTCCAGAATCTGGGGCCTGTTAGGGACAGCAGAGAAAAGAAAGGGATGTTCTAGGGGAGGTTGATCCAGAAGCCTTTTAGATGCACAGCTGACAGCGGGAATCCCATCCACCAGCTGCTGTGGCCTGAGAGCAGGAGCCCTGGTTATCAGCACTCTGAGATCCTCAATATCAGCCCTTGCTGGCTGATAAAATTGCAGGGAAAGTGTAATATTGTGAGACCTGGAGTTCTGCAATATTGCAAATTAAATAGGGCATGAAATATAAGATATTTTATCCATTATTTATTAATTCTCAATTCTTAAACTTCATCTCATCATTGTTGTTTCTGATGAAGATATATAGTTTCATATACAGTACAAAATTAGTATGACAAATATGAACTAGTGCTAGCCCTTCGCAACAGGAGTTCTTTGTCTCTCTGGCAGGAGCCAGCATAAATAGCTGGATTTGAATAGGATTGTAAAAGAGAACACACATAGGTACCACCACTACCCTGCTTCAGAAATGCCCCAGTTCATAAGAAGGTAAGATTGGCCCCACTAGGTCAGTCCAATAATTTATCTAGTCCAGTATTTGGTCTTCTGGCCAGTTCCAGGTGCTTCAGAGGGAATGAACAGAATGGGCCATAACTCCCCATAGCTTGTTAAGTATAAATGCACAGAAACCATTGCAGTCATATTCTTCAGTACCATCAATATTAAACTCTGAGAAAACTAGGCCAAAGGCCAGTAAGAAAGGAAAAACCCAGCTAATAAATAAAAAGAGGACTATCAACGGGACAGTTATTTTGGAGACATAATTCAGTGGGGGTATGTCTACACTACAGCGTTATTTCAAAATATCTTATTTCAAAATAGTTAATTCTAAATAAGTTCTTTTGAAATAACGCGTCTACACACAAAATGCATTTTGAAATAGCTTTTTGCTATTTCAAAATAGTGCGTCCATACTGAGTGGATGCTGAATCGCATTTAAAGCTGGCTGGAACCAGGTCCGGCAGGGCATCAGGTCAGGAGTTAATTTGTGTGGCTGCTGCCTGAGGCTATCTGAGGCCTGTGCTTAAAGGGATCCCCCCTGGACAGCCAGTTCTCAGCTTTCCCTGCTTGCTTGATTACCTCAATGAGGGACAGCAAAGCACTTTGTCTCTGCATGTGCTCTGGTTGCCCTCACTCATGACACCACAGCACTCTGCAAAATGGAGCCGGAGCCACCCCTGTGCACTCTGGTGCTTCTCTTGGAAGCATTGCTGCAAGCCTGGATGCACTTTCTGCAGGCTGCCAGGGGTCCATCAGGGGGCTGTCAGTATCCAGGAGGCCCTGCGGGAGAGCATCTACCCTGAGGAGCACTAAGAGCCTCCCTGGTATGCCCCACAGGGAGCTTGTGCCTCGTTCCTCCCTCATGTCCTTCCACTTACCTCTCCCTAACCCCCCTTCCTGATGTCAAATAAAATACACGTATTTTCATGGACACAAACTGTCATTTAACAAAACTTGGGGGAGGGGATGAAACTCTGGTGAGACTGGGGAAAGGAAGCAGGAGAGGAGAGAAGAGAGGGTGGGAGAGGTGAGGGGGAAACCTGGGAGGAGGGAGCTGGAAGGGGAAGAAGGGGGAGGGGAAGCTCAGGACTCAGGGTTTGGGGTCTCGCTGGACTAACTTGATTGTCATGCAAACCTGCTCCTGGGTTCGCATGTGGCCTTTGGTGGCCAGACTGGCAGCTATCCTGCCCTAGATGGCCGCATTCCTGTGCCCCCCCCCCCCGAACCTGAATAAATGCACTGTGGCCAGAGTCAACCCCTTTAAGGGCTCCGGGATTGGGGAGGGAGAGGAGTGTTCTTGGTTGGAGCTGGAGTGGCCTCCAGGGCACCCTGAGAAGGCTGGAGGCCCCCTATTTTGATATAAGTGTCTACACAGCACTTATTTTGAAATAGCTATTTCAAATTTGGCATTATTCTTCATGGAATGAGGTTTACCGAATTCAAAATAAGTGCTCCGCTATTTCGAATTTATTTCGAAATAGCGGTTTGGCCTTGTAAATGCTAGTAAAGATATTTCGAAATAATGGCTATTATTTCAAAATAACTTTGCTTTGTAGACATACCCTGGATCACAAACTATGTAGTAACGGTCAATGGAGATAAAAAACAGGTGGAAAATCGAGGTGGTACAAAGCATTATATCAAAAGAAGTATGGAGTTTGCAGAAGAGGTCTCCAGAATGCCAGCAGGACACAACAGACCTGACCAGGCTGTAGGGCATCACCGTGAAGCTAAGCAAAAAGTCAGTAGTTGCCAAGGAGCAGATCAGGAAGTTGGTTGGAGAATGAAGCTGTTTGAAATGAGTGATGGAAATGATCACAAGCATGTTACCACCCATTGTGAGCACTGTCGCTCCCACCATGAAGATGTACATAGCCCAAAGACTGATTGTAGACCTTACATTCCTAGTACAAAGTCAAAGCAGTACAGCACATTCTGTGGACTCCAGAGGGTGGATGAATTCATGATTGGGATCAGTCACAATAAACAATAAACATGGCCATTTCTGGGGAGAAAGGAAAAAAATAAATAAAATGACATGAGGGTGAAGCACTGGAATGGGTTACTGGGGAGGTGGTGGAATCTCCATCCCTAGAGGTTTTTACGTCTTGGCTTGACAATGCCCTGGCTAGGTTAATTGAGTTAGGATTGGTCCTGCCTTTGGCAGGGGGCTGGACTTGATGACTTCCCGAGGCCTCTTCCAGCTTTATCATTCTATGATAGAAAGGAACAGAGACATAGATAGATAAAAAGTACTATATACTTTGCTAGACTGTTCTCTTTTCCTACTATCTAGACACACCCCTCACCAACATAATATGCCAATCCTTAAACAATATCTATAGGGTCATGCTACAAATGAGTTTCATTAAAAATAGGTGCACTTTTCCTGCAATAGTTTCAATATATAGGGCCCTATGTGAATTAGTCTAAAAGATCTCCGAAAGTAACAGAGGCATCTATTAACGCAAATACATTCTTAAAACCCTACCTGGTTAATTAAGTATTTGTAGGAAACAAATTAAAAGTAGAGGAATCTGGTCTGAAGATCCTACCAGTCACAATAATTTTAAATGCTCTGCGAAACCAAGAATAAAATAAACCATAAATGATTGGATTACATGTAGAATTGAAGTATCCCAGCCAGAGGAAGGCATTGTACAAGTCTTCAGGTGCTGAAAAATTAATAAAAGGATCAGCTATTGTAAGGCTAAAGAAAGGCATCCAACACAACACAAACACCCCCATGACAATACTTAAAGTTTTAGTTGCTTTGCTCTCTTTTTTTGTAGAGCGTTTGTTTTTCATTTCAGAGACACATTTTATTGCACTGGAGATGTTAGCAATTTGTCTTGCATGTTTTCTTGCCACTCGAAATATGTGGAAATAGACACTCACCATCACTGTTCCTGGGAAAAAGAAGGTTATAAAAGAAGCCATCACTCCCCACAGTTTGTTAAATATCAATGTACACAAACCGTTGCAGTCAGTAGAAGTCACATATTCTTCAATGCCATCAATATTCAACTCTGAGAAAACTAGGCCAAATGGGAAGCCATAACTCCCCATAGCTTGTTAAGTATAAATGCACAGAAACCATTGCAGTCAATAGAAGTCACATATTCTTCAATGCCATCAATATTCAACTCTGAGAAAACTAGGCCAAATGCAAATAAGAAAGGGACAGCCCAGCTAATAAATAAAAAGAGGACTATCACCGGGACAGTTATTTTGGTGACATAATTCAGTGGGTCACAAACCGCGTAGTAACGGTCAATGGAGATAAAACACAGGTGGAAAATCGAGGTGGTACAGAGCATTATATCAAAAGAAGTATGGAGTTTGCAGAAGAGGTCTCCAAAATACCAGCAGGACTCAACAGACCTGACCATGCTGTAGGGCATCACCGTGAAGCTAAGCAAAAAGTCAGTAGTTGCCAAGGAGCAGATCAGGAAGTTGGTTGGAGAGTGTAGCTGTTTGAAATGAGCGATGGAAATGATCACAAGCATGTTACCACCCATTGTGAGCACTGTCGCTCCCACCATGAAGATGTACATAGCCCAAAGACTGATTGTAGACCTTACATTCCTAGCACATGAATTGTTAACAAAGTCAAAGCAGTACTGCACGTTCTGTGGACTCCAGAGGGTGGATGAATTCATGATTTGGAATAAGTCACAATAAACTTTTCAAAGGATTACAACATGGGCATTTCTGGGGAGAAAAGACAAAAAATAAACAAAATGACATGAACAGTAGCAACATCTAAAGACCCGTGTTTCAGATTAGTTGATTACTGTCTGAAATTAAAAATAACGTGTCCAATTCTACTCTAAAGTGCAATAACATCTATTGAGACTATTTTCCATTTATTCTACAGGAATTAGTCCAGTCTACACCAGTATAAGTGATAGCAGAATTTGGCCTGAAGCTAACAAAATGGGCCAAGCTATTTACTAAATACATTTGAATCTCAAGTACTCAAACTCTTAGCAATATTGGATAGTTTGATACGCAGTTTATATTCAACACTATAAGCACTATGACCATACGTTTACAAATTGAAAGCCTCAGAGATATGGCTCTACCCATCACCTCAGACATGTTTGTTCTTGGAGGTACAGCCCATACTTCCAAGAGAAACATTACAGCATCAGAAAACCTAGATTGGTTGATGCTATAAATATTTGGACATGCAGCACTTTGTGAAGCTGCCAGACCTCACAGTAAAAAGGTGATAATGATTCAGTGACACCTTCCTCATTTTTCAGAGGGGTAGCCTTGTTAGCCTCTTTCCACAATGAGGAGTCCTGTGGCACGTTAAAGACTAACACATTTATGTGAGCATAAGCTTTCTTGAGCTAGAGCCCATGAAATTTGATAGCCAAATAAATGTGTTAGTCTTTAAGGAGCTACAGGATTCCTAACTGTTTCTTTCTCTCTTTAGCAGACTTGCCAAGAGGTTAAATTGTTCTTTGTTATTAATCCACTGAGGAGCAAACCCTGAATACATATGTGACTAGAAGTAAAAGAAATAAAATAACATAGTGCTGATGATTCATCTGGGTGAGCAAATCAATCTTTGCCTTGAAGCACTGAAAGATTTGAAAAATAGATAAAATGACATCAGTTTAGTGAACTGTATTAATCCTTTATTATGGATAATTGTTATTTAAGACTTCTGGTTTTTATTTAATCTGATATTTGCTGTTACTAATCTACATGTGTAAAAGAAAAAACTGTGTTTGTCACATTACAGTCTGCACACAATCATAGGTGCTGAATTTTGTTTTTACTGCTGGGTGCTTTTGAAGATATCTGTGAGGGAGCAGAGGTTGGGGGACATTATTTTCAGCATATTAAAACATAAGAACATAGGAAATGTCATACTGGGTCAGACCAAAGGTCCATCTAGCTCAGCATCCTGTTTTCCAACTTTATTACTTTCATAATTAGTCAATTGCTATGAACTACATAATTACATTATCATCAATTACAACATATTAAAATCATTGCAATAACCTACAAACTGTTTTCACTAATGTCCCAGTTTAAAGACTTTGGGTCTTGCTGTAGTTTTCTGGATGAAAATGTCAGTAATCTTATTTCTTAGGTTTCCTGGTATTAGTTTGGGGCACATTAAGGGCAGATACATTATTCAGTTGTGTCTGTCTCTTTGTTGACAGGTGATTCTGCCCCACTGTTGACTGGAGATACTTTTTAAGTCTTCTGAAGCAAGAGAATGAGAATTCCACAGCTCCAAAGGATGATAGCCACATAGGGAGAACTTTATGAACTTGCAGTACACTGGAAACATAGTGCTTCCAGAGTACGGCAAATGACTCCAAGATCTTTCTTGATGGAGAATAGTTAATTTAAGCACCATCATTTTGTAGATATATATTGAGATTATATTTTGCCTTCTGCATAAAGTGGCATTTAACATTAAATTTCATCCACCAATTTGTTGCCAAGTTTTGCAAGATCTCTTTGCAGTCTGTTTTGAATCTTTGGTAATTTTGTATCATCTACAAAATTTGCCACTGCGCTGTTTGTCTCTTATTGCAGACCATTTAGGAATATGTGGAAAAGCACTGATCCCAGATCAGCACAAGTCTCTATTTACTTTTTGCCTTGTCTTTTAATTAGAGGGATTTGGGATGCTAATCTAATCATCTAATGAGCCTTAATTGAATGCAGTAAGAAACCTTTTGTTATCTTGCTCACTTTGGTGCGTCTACATTACACCCGTAGCTTGAAAAAGCTTATTTCGAAATTTGGCACTGTCTACACAGCACTTATTTAGAAATAAATCACTATTCCAAAACATCTCTTATTCCTTGTGGAATGAGATTTATAGGGACGTGGAATAGCGAGCCTGCCATATTTTGAAATAATGGGCGCAGTCAAAAGATGCAGAATAGCTACCTGAAAAAGCGCTGCAGTGTAGATGTAGCCTTTGTCTCTGTTTATAAACAAAATCACTGCCCCAAAGGCAGAAGTTCTTAGCCACCTATAACGCATCACATTCCACTCAAGCTCTGACTCTTGGGTGCTGACAACCCCCTATTATTTTTTCCATGGGCTGTTGAGCCTCAGAGCACCCTTGGAGCCAGCATCTATGTACATAGCAGACACTTGGAGTTAATGAATACCTCAAGAACAGAGGTTGTTCGTAACACTGACATTTTCATAACACTACACAAAACATTATGGTGGTTCTTTCAAGAGTTTACAGTTGAAGATTGACTTTATATTGCTTTGCAACTTTACTATGCAGACAAAGAACATTGCTTTTCTTATTTTAAATGAGACTTAAACAGAAACAGTTTCCCCACCTTGTCAATTCCCTATTTGTAAAATTTTATTGGTTTATATTTAACACAGTACAGACTGTGCAATATTTGCTTTTTTCCTCTCTCTGCTGACAGATTGTATACTTCTGGTTCCAAACCAAATGTGTGACTGACTGGTTAGTTCATAACTCTGCGGTTTTACTGTAATAGAATTAAAGTAAAGGAGTATGAAGGCAGTCACTATGGCCTGAGAAAGTACATTCAATATGTCAGAGGGCACATGCATACACACCTATACCTATATGTACACACATACTATATATGTTATTTTACAGTACTAATGATCCCTTCTGCAAGTCCCATTTTTTCCTCCTTGCAATTCTGTCAGTTCATATCCCTTCACATTGGTGACCCTCACCTATTATTCCTTTTCTTTTATTACTTCCAGCTTGTCAGAACACATCAAAACTTTCTGGCATATTTTTCTAAAATTCATTGGAAACACCATTATATGATAAGACTATGAACATTTGCCATTGTAAACATATTGGATGTTTGCAACAGATACGCCAAGCTGATACCAAAATGTATAGTCATTATAATAAGGTTATTTGCCTTATATAAATAACCC